GGGCTTCGTCTACCGCTTCTCCGGTGAAATCAGCACCAGCCCGGGCGACATCGTCTCCGTCACCCAAGACGGCAAGGCGCTCGGCCTGTTCGTGCTTCGGCTCGACGGCAAGGTGGACAAGCACACCACGTTGGACGGCGAGCGCCCCCCTCCCGGCCTCCTCCATCACTCGCCCTCCGGCGACGTGGCTCCCGGCGTCACGGTCACCTCGGAGGCCCTCGGCGGCGTCGTGTTCACGTCCAGCCTGTCGACCGGCCTCGCGCAGCTGTCGCTCAACGACGGCGAGGCCGGGTACCAGCAGGCTCAGGTCGATAACTACGCGCGGGCCGTCGACGCGTTGCTCTACCGGCACGCCGTGACCACGGTCGAAATTTCTACTTTCTTCTCCAAGACGATCAGCATCGGGCCGCTCGACATCACGATCGCGTTCGACACGGAGAAGCTGGAGGGCAGCGTGTCGGCCTCGGTGCTCGGGATCTCGCTCGGTTCTGCCAAGATCAGCCCGACCTCGCCCGTGGACCTGAGCATCAACGTGTACCTGGCCAAGGCGAGCGTCAAGGTGTCGATCCACGACAACGGTCTGTGGCTGGAGGCGCACGCGAGCACGATCTTCGACGGGAGCGCGGACTACGGTCCATCCGAGATCATCCACTTCTAGATAGAGGATTCGCGACGGTCCGTGATCGACCACCGCGATGCGTTTCCGCTTGACTGACTACTCGTCTCTTCAGACTTCCCGGCCTCTGGCTGAGAGGTTTTGTTCGTCGCCTGCGGTCTCGATATATCGGTAAGTATGGCAGCTCGTGGACGGAGCAACTGGCGTTCGCGTGTTTGCAACTCTATACACGTGCGCGCTCGTTCGAGTTGCCGGCGCGAGCTTTCTGTTGCGCTGTTTTCTCTGTACTTTTAGTCGAAGGTGCCTCGAGACTCTCGAACAGCACGTTATATGCTCTTCTTGTATGCGCGTAGTATGATCGCTGCCTTAGCTTGTATCACGATGCCCGGAATATGCAGGTTCGATGATGCCCCAAGATCATGCTACAACGGATATAAACGCTTGCAACGCGCAGGGCGATTTCCGTCGCTCCGTCTCTCGTGCGCCCGAAACATTACGGATTACCGCACACAGTGTTGACGTTCAGTACACCTCCACGTAGTCGCGATTCAGCATTCATGCCCTATGGATTTTTCAATCTCAGGCGCCTCCGAATGTGCGAGCAAAAGCTAGCGTGAAAGGCACTCACAGCCAGTATCGCTTCTTTCTCGTCGTCTGCCTTAACCGCGCCCCAATTGCCCCAGTCGATGAAGTCGATCCCGTCGGGTTTCTTGAAAGTACCGTCGTCAGCCACCGGGTGATACACATAGTCGGAAAGGACGTGGATATTAGGCAGCTTAAGGTCTTCGTGTGTGATGCCGTAATGGAAGGCATACTACCGGCTCACGTCTCGGACGGAGAGGTGGAAGTTCTGCATAAAGGTCGCACACGCTGCGCGAGGAAAGACGGGGTCACGGGTGCGCTGCGGCGGCTTCGCGTCGCCGAGAGGGTTGACGTTGTGTTTCCACCCGTTGGTTGAGAGGAGAGAGCCTCCATCTATGAAGTGCATGATCATCCATGCCTTAGAAGGCGAGCCTGCGGGGGTGAACGCTCCTGCGGTGCACAGCTTCTTGATCTGGACGGAAGTGTGAGGAGAACTCGCATATATGCGACGTTATTGTCAGGGAATTGACCTTTGCGAGACCGTCCACCTCCTCCTGTATTTGATCCATTCTCACCGCGTTTTCGCCTTGCAGCGTCTTGGCGACCACCCGCTGCGGATCGGGGCAAGGCCATTCCTCGATGACCTGATATGCGCAGCCGTTGGATGCCTCGTCGGTTGCCGCAGGGATATACGAGATCTACGCGGGAGGAGTCCGAGTCAGCGACACTGACTACATAGTCTCAATAATCACCCACGGTACGGGTCTCAGCAGGAGCATGCTCGTCTTTGTATCGTTGTGGTAGCGACAATGGTCCTGCACCTTTCCCGGTCTCCCTATCTACATAGGGACAGATGGGAAACATGACTGCTCCGACAAATTCATGGATGGTTTATATGCAGAATATTTGACAGAGCTCACCACTTGCACTCGGGGTTGTGGTGTTGAGCACGAACTGATGCTAATCACCACCCGAGACCTGGAATGCGCCTGCGAGAGGAGCAAGAAAGGCGGGCCATATGCTGAAGGCGGGGTGCATGATGAGTGAGCCAACTGAAGATATCGTCTGCGCGGCCTTTTATGATCCGAACACCCTCAGCGCGTTTCATTGATCTCCCGTTTGTGATCCCACACGGGGAGGAAGCCCGACATCGACGACATTCTGACATCCGAGAGAGTACCGGCAGCTAAGCCACACGGTGAACGGTGGCGTCGTTTCAAGAACACGATGGCGAAATGTTGGAGCACTTCAACAATTTCTGACCAATAGAAGCGTTAGTTGTATGCGCACACTTCGGGGCGTGTAACCTGCTAGTCGACCTGATCGGGGGATAGTGACCGTTCAGCATCAGCTGAGAGTGCAGGATGACGGCGAAACGATGGTACCGGAGGCTAGTATTAGCGAGTGAATCTGGAGCTAATGTAGATGTTGATAGCATTCTGGCATGCATCCAATCGCAATGTTATCAGCCTTCACAGACAGTCCCAGAGGCTATGTCGGAGCTGCAGGCCAGGAATGTAGATTGAGATCTTGTTTCAAGATCAACAGTCCGCTCTGGAAGTTGAAACAACGGAAATGTATACGCCAAAGAGTTGAGTTCTCGCCCTCTTATAGCTCAGCGAGTACGATACAAGATGCCCGTGATGTTTGAGAGTATAAGCTCAGCATTGTCGTTGGACCGTAACGTTCGAGGATGAAATGGTCCCACGTAGCGCAGCTTCCATATTCGGACGAGTCCACGTGGGTGACGAACTGTGATGAAGTTGCTCGTGAAGCAACACACCACTCGCCCAAGCGTCACCCCGCACCGTACCTCGATTCTTCCTCCCTGACCTCCCTTCCTTTTATTTTGCTTCGTTTTTCTTCGGGAATCAGGATACGCTAGAGTCAAGATGGGTGTGGTCTCCAGCTGCTACGAGTCCTGCTGCGAAACATGCTGTGAGCCTCAGCTTCGCCGTTTGCACGGTGGTTTGATCTTGACTGACTGCGGCTGGCCAGTCCACTCGCGGAAGTCGCAATCCTATGAGCCGCTCTTGCTAGAAAACGAACGGGAAGCGGTCGCGGATCTTCTCCAGTTCCTTGAAAGTACGCCTTTCTCTCAGGTCTCACCCGGAACGTCTCCGGTATTCATGTCCTATCCTTTTACGCAGACAGGACGACGACCAACTTCTTTCAAGGCTCACCTCTTACCGCGCTCACCACCCTCTCTTTCTCTGACAACGTCGACCTACAACGGAGTGCAGCCCTCGCTTTCGCCGAGATCACCGAGAAGGAGGTCCGCCCCGTCGGCCGCGATACCCTCGACCCCATCCTCTTCCTCCTCAGCAGCCATGATACCGAAGTTCAACGAGCCGCAAGCGCAGCACTTGGTAACCTGGCCGTCAACAGTGCGTACCCCTTTCACGTCATTTGAACCTGAGCTGGGGATTGACTGCGGAATCGCTTCGCTTATGGTCGCGCAGCCGAGAACAAGCTGTTGATAGTGAAGCTCGGTGGCTTGGAACCCCTCATCCGACAAATGCTCAGCCCTAACGTCGAAGTGCAATGCAACGCCGTTGGCTGCGTTACTAACCTGGCTACGCACGGTAGGACCCTAATCTCCGCGTCTTCCAGGCACGCATATACTCAATGGCCTTGCCAAACAGACGACAACAAGACCAAGATCGCGAAGTCCGGCGCTCTCGTCCCGTTGACCCGTCTGGCTCGCTCGAAGGACATGCGTGTGCAGCGGAATGCCACCGGTGCTCTCCTGAACATGACTCACTCAGGTATGTCGCCCCTCTGACTCGGATACACGCGACGAATATAGTTCTCTTCCGCAGATGAGAACCGTCAGCAACTGGTCAACGCCGGAGCTATCCCTGTGCTCGTTAGTCTGCTCAACTCGCCCGACACGGACGTGCAGTACTACTGCACAACAGCCTTGAGTAACATTGCCGTGGACGGTGGGTGCCCTTGAACCTCGTTTTCGCCACTTCACCTAAAGTACTATATATAGGCGCGAATAGGAAGAAGCTCGCACAGAGCGAGCCCAAGCTCGTCACCAGCCTCGTTCAACTCATGGACAGTCCGAGTTTAAAGGTTCAATGTCAAGCCGCTCTTGCTCTTCGTAATCTCGCCAGCGATGGTGCGTGCCCTGTCATCGCGCCTATATACCCTTCCTGGCTTAGTTAACCACACGATATCCTACAGAGAAATATCAGCTCGAGATCGTTAAAGCCGACGGGCTCACGCCGCTCCTCCGTCTGCTGCAGTCCACCTACCTCCCTCTCATACTTTCCGCTGCAGCCTGTGTGCGCAACGTCTCGATCCACCCCCAAAACGAGTCGCCCATCATCGAGTCTGGCTTCCTACAGCCGCTCATTAACCTGCTCTCCTTCAAGGACAACGAGGAGGTACAGTGCCACGCGATCTCGACGCTCCGCAACCTCGCCGCGTCGTCGGAGAAGAACAAGACGGCGATCGTCCGTGCGGGCGCGATCCAGAGCATCAAGGAGCTGGTGCTCGAGGTGCCGACGAACGTGCAGAGCGAGATGACGGCGTGCGTTGCGGTGCTTGCGCTCAGCGACGAGTTGAAGGGGCAGCTGTTGGAGATGGGGATATGCGAGGTGTTGATCCCGTTGACGAATAGTCCGAGCTCGGAGGTGCAGGGCAATAGCGCGGCTGCGTTGGGTAACTTGAGCTCGAAAGGTGAGACTCCCTACGTCTCTGCCTGGTGAATCATGTTGCTGACGACTGTGCAGATGGCCGGACGGCAAGCGATGACTATTCCGCGTTCAACGATGTGTGGGATAAGCCGGAGGGTGGCATGCACAAGTACCTGTACCGGTTCCTCACCAGCACGGACGCCACTTTCCAACATATCGCCGTGTGGACAATCGTGCAGCTTCTCGAGTCCGGTGGTAAGTAATCACTGTCTACCTCGATCCTCATCGTGTAATCCAATCTCATATCTTCGCGTCTCCTCCCCTTCCCCACTTAGACCCGCAATTAATCAGCAACATCCGCAACTCGTCCATGCTCGTTTCCTCCATCCGGCAGCTGGCAGCCTCGCGGCAGTCCTCGCCGACGTCGTCCGTCGGCACGCCACGCTCCGGCGCCGGACGCTCGCCCGCGCGCTCGCAGTCGTACCAGGAGACGGAGACGGAGGGCCAGGGCGAGATCCAGCTGCTCGCGCGGCGGATACTCGAATTCGCGGACGCGGACGAGGCCGAGCTCGGGATGAGCCCGCCGGCGCGTGTGCAGTCGGATATCGGCGTGGGGTCGAGCGTCGAGGGCGGGAGCAGCGTGCACAACCATGAGGAGCTCCGGAGGAGCGTGAAGGAGGCGTTCAGCGGATCGTACAAGGGCCGGTGATCGCCGGAGGGCCCTGTACGGCTTGCGCTTGGATGGGCTGGATGATGCTACGTGGTGCCGTTGTGATGGCGAGATATAGACGTGCGGATGTGGTGCGGACCATGTTGACATATATATACTCTCTTTACGTTCAGTTTATTCCCCTTTCTTCCTTCTAGTTCCGTTTCCCGTTTTCCTCTTCTTTCGCTCTTGTGCTCCTCTAATATGTGGTGTGACCATCTTACGGTGGCCTGGTCTTTCGACGTTATTTCGGATGGTGAAGGGTGTCGGCCGTCTTTGTGCTTCTCATCTTCGAACGACCTACGTGTATCTAGTAACGAACGATGGGCGCAGGCAAACAAGTGCCCATCAATTTCATGCAAAGCCAAGCCTATACCGCAACGCAGGAGTGATATCTCATGAAGAATAGGGAGTGAAATTACGGTTGAACAGATGTGCAGAGAGCTCGGTTGGGCTCTTTTTTTATGCTAAGCTACAGATATGCAACACGACGATCATGACGAGATATGAGCTGGGAGACTAGGTAAAAAAAGTTCGATAACCTATATGCCACCCACAACGCGCCCGAGTATGTCCACCGGAACCCAACACCCTGCCCACGCAGCCTCCAAGACACCCAGTCGTTATTATATACTTATATCCAAGATGCAAACCCCCCTACCCCCCCCGCCCGCGCCC